TGGCCGCATCGCCGTTGCCGTCGTTGGAGGAGGACTCCATGAGCTTGAGGATTGATTCGAAAACCGGGGAGTAGTCAGCCCAGAATCGGCCTTTATCGTTTCCCTTCGACCTTTACGAACGGAGGAGTAGAGAAGAACGATCGCAGGCGAATACATGGCAGAAGTATTCATACGTGTCCAGTCTCGTTGCACTCGATGTACGTGGATAACCGTTGTTAATAGCGTGGGCAAAAGAAATGCATAACAACTACAAACTGGTTCTGGCTACCTTCGTTCCCAAAAAAGAAAGTCTCATGAGCCATATGGGTCACAGATCACGACAATGGGAGAGAGGACAACGTGATGACGGTGCCCCACAAGGAGGTTGTGCTAGTGTTCTTTATGTGCCTCACATCAATTCGCCAACATCCCGCGTGCAATAGTCTCAGCAGGTGAGAATACGCGATGATATGGACACCGGAGCCTGTATGTGCCCGACAAGGTGCACGGACATTCGTTATCGTTTACTTCTCCTCGCCGGGACAAATATATGCGGTGGGCATTGTAGTTGGCACCGTTACCGTGTCCCAAATATGGAGTATCTACGTCAAAATCACTCTATCCCCGGACAGACTTTACGGTTGTAAATGCGGATGACCTCGCATGCCCACTAACCGCCAAGACGCGACATGCTCCTCGTATGAACTACTTCAATAAGGCGTCAAACAAAAGAAAAAAAAACAATGTGTAGTCTGGGACAATCATAAAAAAAGTTGCTCACGTTTGCCTGTGTTTGTGGTAGGCCGTCCTGCATTCGTTGACCCAGTACCGAACGGTGGACTCCGTCGGGAAGGGGGTGTCCAGGTAGTTGGCGCACCTGTACTTCATCCTCGATTCTTGAGGCAGCTGCAGCCACTTCTTGCGGACGGACTCGAACAGGGGTTTTTGCTCGGTAATGTAGTCCACCGCTCTCGTCTTCCACGTGAATTTCGCCCCTCTATGGCTGAGCCGGTGCGAATCCCTCACCTTCTCCAGGAGGGCCTCGAACAACATGCGCTTGTATACCAAGTTCATCTGTCCC